CTGGGACTTTCAAGTTTCCCGGTGACATAAACATGAGGGATTCCAAAGAGTAGTCTATTCTGAGCTCCAACACAGCCCACCCAAATACACTTCACACCTCAGAGAAAGCAAGCCTTTTATGACAAATCTATACTCTTTCAAGACATGAGGAACGGTACAGCAGACATGGTTCATTAGCTGATTTAATGTTAGAAGAGCATGAGGACATTGGAACATGCTGAGACACTCACCCTGTTGACCTTCTGCAGACTGGTGGCAGGCAGTGCAGCCAGGGTTTTGTAGTCAAGCTTAAGAGGTCCAGTGCCAATGCTCTACAGGGAATAAACAGAAACAGAGGTGAAAGGAGGTCTGGGCTGAGGTTTAATATGCAAAAAGCATCTATTAAAAGTACAAGCCTGGCTTAAATGTTGCTGCAATCGTATTTTCCATGAAAGTCCAGGCATTAAGTAACAGAGCAAAATCCTGTGGCAGCAGTTCTGTGGTGTTTGTGGTTAAACTGCTGTTGTTCACAGACAGGAAATTTGTCTGAACACCTGCCGATGAGGAGTGTCTCACCTCAGTCTCCTCTTCTAGCAGGCGAGTTGCCTCCTCACGCTCCAAGCGCATTCGCTCCTTCACCAAGAAAGGAAGGAGAGGAGGAAAGTATAGAAGGAAAGACAACCAACCACACACAGCCACACAGTGTTGTGATGAGGGGTGAAATGAGAATGTGAAGGAAGAAAAGTGTTAAAGTGGGGAAAACAGCAGTAGAGAATTGTGGAGATGATTGGATGATTTTGTATCACACCAAACACACCAAAGGTAGAGGAAAGATCAGAGAACAAGAGAAGGGAAAGAAAGGATAGAATCCACACACATTAAAAAGTACTCTATTCATTAGCTATGGGAGCAGAAAAAGCATGCAAGGTGGGGCATTGCAGGAACAGTTCTGTCAAACACAATACCCACACAAGGTGCAGAAGAGAAGCTTCATTCACCCGCTAACAGACAAACCCAAGCATTTGACTCTAACGCTCCACTCCGCACACTTGAGTTTGGCATTTTTCTGAGATACGATGGAGCAAAAATGTAATTCTCATCTCAATGCGCTACCATCTATGTGCTGATCTGACAGACACAATTTCATCTCTAGCTGTCCTAGAACAAGTAGTGTATTTTCAGCTTCACTCACCACTTTCTCCATCTCTTCTCGCTCCCACTGGGATGTCTCTCTCACCATTTCAGACTCCTGGAGGAGAAAGAGATTTAGGATCCTTACTATTAATCCTGTAAATCTTAGCAAAAGCAGCCTGAGTAATTTAAACCAATGTAATTCCCATAGAAATTATGTTCTGACTACATGTGCTCTAATAAAGTGTTATGCCACATAATTCTAAACTGAGGAACGACTGACATGAGCATTCAGTAAACCAGCAGGTCCATACATTCCTTTAGTAGACAAAATAAACAACTGTGCTGGTGCTTTCTGGTCAGCGTATGCAGTGCGCATGGTTGGAGTTGTAAACTCCAGCTGCTAACACAAAACTGCTGTGGAAGCACCGTTGGTGCAACAGAATCGCTGAACAAAATATTTGATTCATGTGGTGACTTAAAGGGTTTTAGGCATCATTTGGATGATGATGTTTGAACCAAATCTCTGTGCGGCCCCTGTTTTGACGAGTTTTAACTACGCAAGTAGTTCGATAAGTTCACAAATAATGTTGACACCAGTAATTAAGATTTATAAGTTAAGACATAGATGTTAGAGTAGATTTTCTTTCAGAAAGGTACTGAAATAAGATCTTACGAGTTGTTTTTATCTTTTGTTTTGTTTACATTTTGACATCTTTCTTATAATTTCTTTAAGTTTGTATTCTATCCTTGTTAATTTACTAATCTCCTTGGCTTGTTGATTAATTTTTTAATTTGTTTCTTTTAGGCTTATTGATCAACCTGATGTAATTGCTGTTTTAGTGGACACCAGGAAGACTAGCGACCACCTTGAGGAGGCTAATGGGGTAGTACCTTCTGTATAATGTCCATTTCCTCTGGGCTCAGGTCTCGGTCTATAGAAGAGATGCTCTCCATACTGTTTTTACGTACAATGCCTGCTGCAAATGGGTTGGCAATGATGCCAGGAGACGCCTGGAATTGAGCCAAATTATTTTTAAAAATTGAATTAAAATTGAAGAAATACTTGTTAACATAGTTTATAAAGAATTGTTTTCTTTCAGTGTCATTTTATAAGAGGAAAAAAAAACATTTTGTCCACATCCAACCTCTCATGGTGTCTCACCTCCACGGCAGCCACTTTGTGTGGGTCAAAGCCATCACACACCAGCATGACCAGAGAGTCTCCAACAGCACGAAGCACTCGCACTGCCTCAGTGTGCGTCATCCCCAAAAGGCTATGGTTGTTCACCTCCAGGATTCGCATGCCAACCTGCAGTCGGCCATCTCTTGCTGCTGCTCCGCTTGAACTCACCTGATTTAATATCAACCAAAGTGTGATGAAGAGTTTCAACGAGGGTGTCAGACTGATAAAACTGCTGCCAGTCTTAAACTAATAATATAACTAGGATTCAGGTCCATGCATTACATCATTAATGCAGTCTTTGACATCACTCTTAAAACTTTTGTTTACCAACTTAAAACAACATCTTTAGGAGATTTGCACTGATTTAGCCTCATGTAATCAGCAGTCAAGCCTGAGCATGTTTAGATTTTTCAGCCAGTCAAATAAAGCTGACTATTACATATTAACCCAAGTGACATTCAACACACTGGTTGGCGCAGGTAAAGCTAAGGAGGATGTATTGTCTGGGCCCTTATGAATGTGGTCAAAAAAGTGCAAAGGTGCAGGACATTAGATAGTTTCGGTACCTTAGAGATGAAGATACCCTCATCTGTGGGGTCGAAGGGGTTTCCAGCATGACCTTTGGCCCCTCCGCGGATACTGATGCCAAGCTTCTCCCCTGGCTGCTTATTAATCACAATTTCCTGCAGTGATAAATATATGCAGCTTGTCAGCAAACATATGATCTGCATTTCTTCTTCTGGTGCATGATTGTGTAACTTCACTAGGAAATGTGTATATTTATTTGTAATGACTGCCTTACCTGCATCCCAGGTGGTGAAGGGTCCCTTCGTACCAACATACGGATTTCCTGCTTGTTGGCCAGCAGGGCTCGCACAGCCTCCTGGTGTGTGGCATGACGCAGGTCAATGGAGTTCACTTCTAATATCCGATCCCCGACACGCAGTCCGCTCTGACATGCCAGACCTTGAGGAATCACCTGATGATGGAAAGTGGGACACAAGCCAAAGTAACAACAGCAATAATACAACATATTTTAGGAGATGGAAAAACACAAAACTGGAAAACAAGGAACTCCACAACTCTTTTAAAATAATACCTTTGAGATAAACACCCCAGGCTCATGGATGCCAAATGGATGGCTGGCATGGTCACTGCCTCCAACAATGCTCAGGCCTAGAGGCCCACCAGACTTCACCAGGGTCACTTCCTGTTAGTATGAGATGTAAAAAAAAAAAAAAAAAAAACATGAGAAAATTGTTTTTTTATAGAAAGAAAGTACAACAAGTAAATTCCATTACAGACAGTCTATTGAAATTCATGACAGGCTGTGGGCCCTTTTGGTTTATAACAGTCATGTCTCCCATCTACTGACTTATGTAGTTTCCCTAAAACACAAACCAACCTGTTTCTGCATGCACACCTTCGTTCACAGGGTTAAGCAGCTAAATAGCAATACCTTTGCATTATTATTCACTGGCTGGGAACAATACAGCTGATATTACCAGTCTATGAGCTATAGTACACCACCACTTAAATTAGGCCAAGCATTCATACCATGCACCATCTTCTCTGGAACTGGACAGCATTAAGGATAAGGCAGGGGCCAAATAAATAAGTATTTATGCTGAGTGCTGCAGTGGGGCTTCTACAGCATTGTCCAACAGAACAACAAAGCTGCTTTAATTAGTCCTAAAGGTCTCACCTCAATCGGATACTCGTCTTCCATCCGGCTTAGGTGGTTCCCATGAAGGGAAAGGCCTGTTTCCTCTTGGTCTGGAGAATCTGAGGGCTCTGGTGGTGGAGGAGAGTGGGCCCGTGCCCGGGACTGAACTGGAGAGCCCCCTGGTGCATTCAGGTCTCGCTCCACCAGGAGGGTGATGGTGGGGGAGGTGCCAGTAAGAAGTGCTACTGCCTGGTCATGCCTGGCCTCTGTCATGTCTACACCATTGATCTGGATTGACAGTGAAACCAACCACGAAGGGTGTCAGCCCACCAGGAAGCTCTCAGTGACAATGGGCCACATTTGCCACTGGCATGATGAGCATCAAAGAGCAAATACATGCTGTACCAGGCATGCTGCCATCTCTCATCGGATTCCGCATCTCACCACTCAAGACTATTCCTAAATATTTATTTAGCAACAAAAACATTGCGATTTTAATACACTCAGAGCACCAAAGTGACCTAGAGAGCAACAGGAACAGGCAGAATTAAAAGAGGGAGCAGGGGTTAACAATGGGCTGCTGCAGGCAAATTAAGCTGGCAGAGCTTCCCTGAGGACAGAGGCTACAGGCAAGCAAAGCTATTTTTTCCCCACAACTGCTTGTGCAGCAGTCTTTTACTGCAACACTTTAACAATTTTCCACCCCTTCTTGCCCTTGTTTACTTAAAATACAAGTGTGTAGTTGCACCAAAAAAGTTTGATCTTAAGTCAACAAAGTCAAGCAGGGAAGTCTTTAGACATCTACACCCTCATCATAATATTACGGAATGAAAATATTAAATCATTAGTTTTGTTAACATTCTTTTTTTAGAATTATAGTATATCACAGAAGTGAGTACACCCCCTCACATTTTGTTAATATATCTTTTCATGTGACAACACTGAAGAAATGACACTTGGCTACAATGTAAAGTAGTGAGTATACAGCTTGTATAACAGTGTAAATGTGCTGTCCCCTCAAAATAACGCAACACACAGCCACTAACCTGCTGGCAACAAAAATGAGTACACCCTAAGTGATAATGGCCAAATGGGGCCAAAAGTGTCAATATTTTGTGTGGCCACCATTATTTTCCAGCACTGCCTTAACCCTCTTGGGTATAGAGTTCACCAGAGCTTGCCACTGGAGTCCTCTTCCACTCCTCCATGACGATGTCGCGGAGCTGGTGGATGTTAGAGGCCTTGTGCACCTCCACCTTCCGGTTCAGGATGCCCCACAGATGCTCAGTAGGGTTTAGGACAGGAGACATGCTTGGCCAGTCCATCACCTTTACCCTCAGCTTCTTTAGCAAGGCAGTGGTCATTTTGGAGGTGTGTTTGGGGTCGTTATCGTGTTGGAATACTGCCCTGCGGCCCAGTCTCCAAAGGGAGCGGATCACGCTCTGCTTCAGTATGTCACAATACATGTTGGCATTCATGGTTCCCTCAATGAACTGTAGCTCCCCAGTGCCAGCAGCACTCATGCAGCCCCAGACCATGACATTCCCACCACCATGCTTGACTGTAGGCAAGACACACTTGTCTTTGTACACCTCACCTGGTTGCTGCCACACACGCTTGACACCATCTGAACCAAATAAGTTTATCTTGGTCTCATCGGACCACAGGACTCTGAACACTGGCAGGCTGACCCCCCACCCCTTCAACCTCTGCAGCAATGCTGGCAGCACTCATACATCTATTTCCCAAAGCCAACCTCTGGATATGACGCTGAGCACGGGCACACAACTTCTTTGGTCGAGCACGGGCACACAACTTCTTTGGTCGACTACGGTGAGGCCTGTTCTGAGTGGAGCCTGTCCTGTTAAATTGCTGTGTGGTCCTGGCCACCGTGCTGCAGCTCAGTTTCAGGGTCTTGGCAATCTTCTTATAGCCTAGGCCATCTTTATGTAGAGCAACAATCCGTTTTTTCAGACCCTCAGAGAGTTCATTGCCACAAGGTGCCATGTTGAATTTCCAGTGACCAGTATGAGAGAGTGAGAACGACAAATTTAACACACCTGCTCCCCCTTCACACCCGAGACCTTGTACCACTAACGAGTCACATGACACCAGGGAGGGAAAACGGCTACTTGGGCCCCATTTGGCCATTATCATGTAGGGGTGTATTCACTTTTGTTGCCAGCAGTTTAGACATTAATGGCTCTATGTTGCGTTATTTTGAGGGGACAGCACATTTACACTGTTATACAAGGTGTATACTCACTACTTTACATTGTATCCAAGTGTCATTTCTTCAGTGTTGTTACATGAAAAAATATACCTAAATCAGGGGTGGCCTGACTTAAATATTTACAAAATGCAAGGGGGTGTACTCACTTCTGTGATATACTGTAAATAAAGGAGGCAGCTTTCAGGCATGCATCCTGGTTCAAAGTGATAAACAGAGGTCAGCACTGACCCGACAGTACCAGCTCTTATCATCAGCCGAGATGCTGCCGCAGCAGCCACCATGGTGACACGCGCCTACCATGGCGGCATGGGCGACAGGCTCAGCCAACTCCACCCCAACACCATACCCACCACCGAGCAAGCAAGAAGATGCACTTAATGCATTAGTGAGCATGCAGAGGGAAAGGGTGTGAGAAACAAAGAAAAGAGGAAGCCGACAGAGATGCAGAGAAAAACAAAGAAAAACCTGCAGAAGGAAAGAGGAGAGTAAACCCTTAAAGAAAGCACAGAGACTAGTTCAGGAAGTATTCCACACTTCCCACAGTGTAGGGTTTGAGCTAAAAAGAGACAGTTAATAAAAAAAAACAACAACAACAAAAAAACAAACAAACAAGGAGCTGTTTCACATTCACTGTACTTGAAGATAGCTTCAGTCCATCATCAACAGTGGATTTACAGCAACATAATAATGGATAAAGACATGCAAAACTATAGTAACTAGTACGTTGAAAGGCACAGGAGAGTGATGCCGAGCTTTGAGTGTGATCAGCAGAGAGCAAAGAAGAGAAGAAGTTGCTTAGCAGTGAAACATATAACCTAAATAGTGTACTATTTAATCAAGAGAGCTACATAGTCTGAATCCAAGGTGAGACTGGTTAAGGACTGTATTAGTACGATGTCTCTGTCATTAACTAATGGATTTGATTGTTGAGTGTAAAGTCTGATGAGTTAATCTTCTTTATGTGGTTAACATGGGGATTTCCAATTATCACATTCATTAAAAACCATTGATGTGCAGATGGAGATGTAAGAGGGATGGTGGTACTCACAGAGATCACCCTGTCGCCCACACGCAGTGTGCTGTCTCTGTGTGCTGCTCCACCCTCTGCGATGCGAGAGATGTAGATTCCCTAAAAACAGACAAAAGAAACATGTTTAAGATTTCTTTGTCCATCTGTGGACAACTCAAACCAACAAGATGCATTTTCTCCCACAGTCCAAAGACCCGCCAATTAAGTTTTAACTCAAAATTGTCCATACGTGTAAATGTGTGGCCGTCTGTGTCAGCCCTGTGATAAACTGGTGACCCAATGTCAGCTGGGACTGGTTCCATGACCCTCTACAGGATAAGTGGTATAGATAATAAGTGGAAGTAGAAAATTAATTATTCTACAAATCTATACCTTTTCCTCTTTAGCAAATTAAACAGGGTCAGTATAAAAACTCTGGCGCAACAGGCTGGACTCCTGTGAGTGGTCTAGTAAGGAGGTACCAATAAGTCAGTATGGGATATAATGCCACAGTACAGATTTGAGTCAAAAACACATTTCTTTACTCTATACTGCTACCAGGCTATACAGTATATCTATAGTTATGAGATATAAGCAGCCCACAGTGCCAGAAATATTTGATACAAGGTTTTACAGCAAACAAACAAACTTGCACATTCATTAATACTGATTTACTTGCATAGTATTTTATCTTTAAGAAAACATTTGGATTGTACAACAGAAGTAGCTTATCGAAAAGCATGACTCCTGAGACGCATTATCCCTTTCACTGAGACAAATTACCCAGCTGAGTTCCTAATCTGCCTTGCCAAAAATGTCTAAACACATGCAGCAGCAAAATTTATCCCACATACCCCTGAGAGCAACCAACAACCAAGCAAGTCACTGCATCCATATCAATAAGCTTACAATGCCTACACTGAGACCCACCTAAATCATTAGTTTGAGTCCCTTCCTCTTTGTGAGCTCGTTCAGCTGCATGAGATGCAATGCAGCATTGCACTGGCCCAAGTATACACCTCACCCTGTCCACCTACAGTGAACCTATCAAATGTCAAGACTGGCTATTCATATCTCTGTCTCCCCGGTGATGTCTGTAAACGCTGGGGCTAGAATAGATGTTGTTAAAAGACAGACGCCTGTGACTGTGACAGTCACTGCAAACACTTGTGACTTAACTTCCCAACTTCAAGACCACACCTGTTATAAATAGGCTCTGTGTTGTAGGACGGATTGTGTCTGCAGCTTTATATGTTTTCTCAGTGTCATCTCTCTCCTTAAGCCAAAACCTATAATTTACATCTACTACAGATTCACTTTCTGTCAGATCTTCACTAAGTCTTTAAATATCAATGCAGTTAGAGAACAGTGCCTTCTTGTTTTGTGTGTAGTCACAATTCATTTATGGCTGCAAAAAACAACTACTTTCATTATCAATTATGTTGTAAATTAACAGATTAATTGTTTTGTCATTAAAATATCAAATTGTCTATCAGAGTCCAACATAATACATCAAACAGCTTGGTTTATGTGTACCCAGAATTTGTGCTTCTAAGCCAGCTATAATAAAAGTTAACAAAATGAGTCATTGAAGTTTTCAAACAAACTGATGCAATGCACAACAGCACAACACATTTCACTGCACTGAACGTTAAACTTGATTATTTATAGGAATTTTGAATGGGGTGATCATTTTTCAGCCTACAATGTACACAACATACACATGTAATCTGTCTTTGAAGCTTTGCCTCTCACTAGGAGGAAAGACAATGGATGCTTGCTGACCCTGATCTACCAACCTCTTCTGTCACCCTGACAACCAAGCATGTTTAGCAACATGTGTGAAGGCTGCATTTTGTGTCTCACTGTGTCTCCTGTGCGGTAGGGTGTGGAGCCTTTGCCCCCTGCGATGCTGAATCCCAGCCCTTTGTCGTTGCGGATCAGGCAGGTGGAGAGCCGCTGTCGAGGCCCGCTAGGACTCATCTCTGCGCCGAAGGCAATCCCGCTGCTCCGTCTCTCTCTCGGGAAGTAGTCGTCCTCTGGCCTCAGTGGCGTGGTGGTGATGGCGTTCTCTGGTTCCACCATGCGCTCCCTTAGCACCGTCATGGAAACTGTAGCCCCCGAGCTACGAAGAGCCTCCACTGCTGCGTGATGTTCTGCTTCGTGGAGGTCTACTCCATTCACCTGAGGCAAAAATATGCAAAGACTTTTGATGTTCCTTAAAAAAACATTTGAAATATAAATACAGCTGAAGTTAGACGTTTACATACACTTTAGCCAAATACATTTAAACTCAGTTTTTCATAACTGCCATTTCTTCCTATAAACATTCCCTGTCCTAGGTCAGTTAGGATCAATACCTTATTTAAGAATGTGAAATGTCAGAATAATAGCAGAGAAAAAAAGTGAAATAATATACGGCATCTGTAAACAACTGTTGGAAAAATGATGTGTTATGCATAGTAAATGTTCTAACCGACTTGCCAAAATGTGTTTGTTAACATGACATCTGTGGAGTGATTTTAATTACTTTAGCCTAAGTATCAGAAGTGCAAGTGTGCTTTGTTTTACCACTAGGAGTTTGTCTCCCACTTTAACCCCTGCTCTGGCTGCTGGACCTTCTTCAGATACCCTGGAGATGAAGATTCCCTGGAGAAACAATTGCAGAGAAGAAATGGATTTGTACAATACATGGCTTTAATTTATTTTTTTTTTAAATCCAGAGATTCCAGGTAAAGGTCTTACCTCATCATCTCCTTTGTAAGGCGTAGATCCTTTCCCTCCAGCAATGCTGATTCCCAGGCCACCTGTTTGTCGCAGGATGGTCAGGTTGTGCTGCAAGTCAAAGATGGGGGGGTCAGCACAAACAGTAGCAAAAGCATGACAAACACTGCTCAACCCAGGACAGGCTGAGAGGAAAGTCTGCACACACTGTGTTATTTATGATTTAGACTGCCATTTATTTTCAAATCTTTGACTTTTTGATTTAAGTTGTGGGTGAACTCCCTCATTCTGCTGAAGGTGGAATCAGTCTTATCAGAGCTGGATCCTGTGATCATGCTAGTAGATGGATGGAAGAGACTTTCAATTGTCAGGAGCCTAATGTCAATGTAAGTGGAAGGTAGATGATTTTATTTTTGTTTGAATTGTTAAGGGTATTTAGATCATCACAATCAAACAAAAGCTGGAGCCAAATCATCTACCAGTTAACACTTAACTGATATTAGACAAACTTAGCAACCACACACTCTCTGAAATCCTCTTCAGACAGACGAACAGAGGCTAGATCCTGATGGAAAACATTCTGTACATGAATACTGCACATGTATGGGAGAACGGACCTTAAACAGATCAACAGGCTGTGTAGATTCTGTATACTTGCAAGCCATGCAAAAAGGAGGAAAGGTAAAGATGAATGATCAACAGGAAGCAGAGTAACAGACAAGAAGATTGTGTCCTGGATGTGGAGACAGGTTTGTAGTGATGGAACACCCCCAGCATTTAATGAGAAAGACAGTACCGGGTATTATTTATTTACGTAATAATGTATAATTGTTCAACAACAGTAAAATGAAGTATTACGTATTTTAAACCATTAAAATAGAAAATATATAAAATAATCTCCTGAAAACAGACTTGGATCTTAGTAGTCATTTAGAAATGCTGTAACTAAGGGTAACCTTTATGCTTCCTACAACCACCAATAGATAAAAAAAAAAGCAGCTGCAGCTACAGCAAACTACCGTGTATGGACATTTGGCATCAGGTCACTGATGATAGAAACAATGCCTAGCACTTTTCACTTATTATATTTGTAATGGATTAAAATCTTACATGTTATTAAATGATAATTCATTATTACTACAACTAATGGTAGTAGTAACTATCTCAGGTCAGAAATAACTCCAATATCATGTTTATTTAAAACATTTAAATATAGCTGCATGAGTGTGCTATAAGTTAACCACACTGACTTACTGTAGATAAACAAACACTGTAAGATATTATGTTTGCTACCTGATGTTTCATTTGAATCAAAAGTTAGGAACATAAATATAAGTCAATATTTGTCATCTGTCAAAGTTTGAAAAGCTAGTTCTAACATGCAACAATCCGCTCGAACCCCATCAGTGCAGTTTTCAATCAGAAAATCTGGGAACACCTCACTATGTTTCCTACCCAAGTGTCTCAACTCTTACTGTCCAGCGATAATCAGTCATTTTAAATAAAACAGGGCTACCGCCCTCCTGCATCCAGGTTCTGTCACATCATCAGCCTATAGGCAAGTTGTCGTTAGGGGCTCCCTAGTGATTGGCTTGGGAAAAACTATGGATTTTTGTGAGCATTTTGTCCACCTATCAATACCAGTGGGTACATAAGTGGGTGAGTGAGGGACATAGAAAGACTGGACGGCAAAGAGTAGGTACAGACCTCTTCCTCCTCAATTCGAGCAGGTTCAATCAGCAGATTATTGACTTGATCAAATGACACCCCCTGTTAGGACAGGAACCAGCGAGAGGCATGCGGATTAGTCAGGCCAAATATGCTCACACGCACGCAAAAAGAAAAACAAATACTTTCCATAAACTTCACCAAACGCTCTCAACACGTCGCTGTCTGCTTCCAGGTCCACCTGGATGGAACACCGTGAAGCAGAGCCAACGTCACACTCACTCCCCAGCCACCAGAAGCACATACAGGCAGAGATGGAAAGACAAGACCAAGGAGCTGAGCTATAGTGCGAAGCACACATTATAGAGCGAACAAAAGAAGGTAAAGCTCCCAAACCAGAATAGGCCCAGACTCCACACAACCAGTACCAATTTCCTCCAGTAGCAAGCCTTCATTTAGACAACAGGCCTACTTCTGTAAAAGACTGCAAGAGGTTTTACAACAGTTTCTGCCCAAAAGTATAAACATCTACAAGATGACTTTGCAAAAGTATTTCATAGAAAGTGCAACAAAAAGGTTAAAGAAGTTATTAAAAGAAATTTATCTCACTGAATGCGATTTACAAGAAGAATTTAAACTATTACTCTCTATAATCATTTGATATTACCACAATCATTAGATCTCATATTCCAGCTCTGCCAATACATGTTCTAGTTGGTCTAAGTTCAGCCACACAAACAGACCTCAGACATCAATAAACAAACACAAAACCAATTTGGTAAGATGACGTTTGATCACAGTGTTAAAAAAACCTATTTCTACAATTACCATAATAAATCAACATATCTGATTAAATGCTAATGATCAATAATGGTTCGTTTTCATAGGCGGCACCTGAGCAGATTCCACACACTCAATTCATTCACACATGTAAAGGCACTGTGAGAAAATATCATTAAAGATGGCTGATGATGAGAAGTTTAATGCTGTGCGAGAAAGGCTTGACTGCTGTGTGGAAGAGACATCTTTATTTGACAACAAAATATTAATATATTTATGTGTGTGTATGTATACAAAGATCAATCTAGCTTGGAAATAGAAAGGTTTAAATGCCATTTCTCTGATCTGTGTCCAAGCACGAGAAAATATCTTTCTTAATATTGCATCATCAAGTTATCTAAATGTTGTATGTTCATGTCGACTGTTTGTAGCCTTTTGATGGAAAACATCTAGTCTTTGTGAGATAAAGCAAAGTTCTGAGGAGGGCATTCTGAACCGAGTTTGAGCTTAAACAACAACATCAACTCCCCTTTATTTCTACACTTCCACAATTACTCTGCAGCGTCACGTCCTTGATAACTGCTAGCAACCCACTCCAAACGTAATGCAGCTTGAAGGTACAAATAAGAATGGTGATATTTTTCTACCTATAAAATGTAATTTTTCCTGAAATGCATCCTGTCAGTGCTGGGATCTCTTTTTTACCTTTACTTGACTGGAGTTGGCCTGTTGCCGGCTGTCCTCCAGCTCCTCCATTCTGTGGTGGTGCTGAGGGGTGCCAATACTCTGCTCTTCCTCCTCATCCTGCTCATCCTCCATGGCCTGTGTCGAAGAGTGGAGCCCATCCGGACTGAAGCCCTGCAGCAGTGCGGCTACTGCCTCTGGCTTGGGCAGCTTGGTGATCTTGAAGTGCTTCTTGTAGTGTGGCGTGTCTTTTCTGATCAGACGCTGCTTCTCTGTGGGAAAAGCAGGCCTCTCGTCTTCCTCGTCACTCCTCTCCCCATCATCATCTTCATCATCATCCCCACCACGGATGATGGGCTCTTCTGCAAAGTGCACAGTGGGCTGGAGAAAGGAGGAAATGAGATCTTAAGACTTTGAAAACAGATGCGGGAACCACAGATTTTTCTTTTAAGCATGATCCATTATTGATTATTGTTTTCTGTAGTTCAATTTGAAGGTGATTTGAATAGTCACCTCAATGTACTCCACCTCCATCTCGTCCAGCTCCTCCTCCTCCTGAGGGGAGTGACCATCCACAAGGTCCTCCCTCTGCAAGCTGACCACCACATTTTGACTGCCGTCATGTGAAGTGGCTGACAGAGTGCTGTTGGAGACCTGGGAGTCGTGGCTCTGATTGGAGAGGTCACTGAGCCGTTTCTCCTAAAAACAACAGTCAGTTCGATCAACAGCAGGACCAAGATCACAATCAGATAACAGGGCAAAACTGTAGACATTTCAGTTTCATTCTGTGCATAATGGAACCGAAAACTGCTTTTTGTCTGCTCTATTATCTGGGGAGTTCCTGTTTCACCTGGAACTTTCACCATTGTGCAAGCAGATTTAAATGTACAACTGACAACAGATTGTTAGAAAGCCTAAAATTAAAAATCAACATATGTATGTACCTGTGGGTCAGGGGACTCTTCTCCATCAGGTCTGGATATGTAAGGTTCATTCCTCCTCTCTTCAATCACCTTCTTCATCACCTTTAGCTCACTGGGGTGTGGTGTGGCTCTGCGCTGAAGACCCTGCAACACAGAGAAACAGATTAAAAACTTGATTCCTGCCAAAGAAACACACATCATTATGGACTCACTACAAATACTTTGCCACAGTAATACCCTTAATTGAGCACAAGAAATATTCAGACCTGATGTTCCCTCACCTGAAGCAATAGAACTTTAGTCATGATAATAGAACTAGACCGCATCATGGTGAGAAGTAAGAGTGCAAAACAAAAATCCTCTCAACAGGAGGGCATGAAGGGGGACAGAAATGATACCACATTGCTGGGTTTCCTCACTCTGTGCTCTGCAGCGGCTGCATCTTCATCATCCTCAGTCTTGGTCTCTTCCTGGAACTGAATGACTGACACTCGGTTCAGGTTGCTGTCTGTCCAGCTGTCATCCACGCTGTTCTGTAGCAAGTTCTCTGTGGAAAATGAGGGAGAAATACAGAGGAGAGAGGGATGTCAAACTGGGGTAATAGCTGTAGATTACTTTTGAATGGACGACTTTAAGAACAGATTGATCTATGCTATGCTATGCCATGAGCTATTAAGCTAGCTGACTGAAAGCTACACAAACGGCTATGTATGAACCAAGTTTCCTACCAGTTAATACAGGGAATAAGTTTGGCATGTTACATACAAGAAATCTTAATATCCTAGCAGTAATATATTAAATATAACAAATTAAACAACAGATTTAACTTAAAACAGACCACAATGTATTACAATTAAAACTAAACAACGAATATTAATGTGATTTAAACTACATTCAGAAGATAGATGGGTAACACCCATTGCATAACAAAGTGCTGCTCACCAAGACTGGAGGACGGCTGCTGGGGCAGTAAATAGCAAGTCAACACCTTCTCTCCTGTTTGCTCATCATCCTCTGTCTGGAACTTGAGCATAGGCTGTGACTGGTTCTCTGCAAGCCACATGGCCTTCAGATTGAGGTTTGTCAGGGAAAAAGGCAAGTTTTGTAATCTAGGCAAAAGAAGGAATGAGGTAAAGTGAGCCAAATCTTTTCAGTAAACAAAAACAACCAATGAAACCGCTGATGTTAGATAGTCAAATTGGTGATCACAAAAATCTTTAACTTAATGGTAACAGTTCAAAAAAGCTCTATATAGTTTATCTATTCAAATATCAAGGCATTCCAATAAATTAATTAACAGGGGGAAAAATAACACAAATAACCCTTATGAGCCTTTTGAAAATGATCCATTGATAATGATGTATTTTCTTATATAATTTTCTAATATATATAAATATATATTTTCTATAACTCATCACCACAGCTGTGAAAATCTAGATGACGTTACACTGTCAGGGTTTTCCATACCACAGAAAGGCTTAAGCTCAGCTGCCTAAGTGTTTCTGCAGAGCAAAGGCAAAATGAATACAAGAAAGGCGACATATCAGAATAAATGCAAAAACAACAGTGAGTTATATGCTACAAAATAACGAAGAGGTGACTTGATGTCCAAATTAAACATAAGCTGGCAAAAGGAATGACCTGTTAATCAACAATCGGTGTTTGGACGAACGTTTGTGTGATTGCCAGCATCACTAAGCAAATCAAAGAGCTGACTGGATATTTTATCTGTACAGTCAACTCAGGACGGTAGTTACAGCCATGATAAAGTTAGCCTCCACAAGGAATACGTGGAGTAGGCTACAACTCTTTTGGGGAGTAATTCTTGGGAATGGTAACAGTAGAGATGGCAGAATGCAGCCTATTTTACAAGTAAAGAAAAGTCAACTTTGGCAAAGGCAATCTATTTAAAGCTTTAACTGCAGAGTAGGAAAGCTGCTGTGCATATTAACAGTCAGGCTGTTAAGTGAGGTCACCTGTTTCCAGCCACATCCAGCACATGCAGTTCTGTGGCATCTGCAAGCTCAGCAGGCAGTTTGCCCAGGCGGTTATCTCTCAGTGAGAGAACGTTGAGGCTAGCACAGCCACCCAGCTCTTTGGGCACACCGCCCAAGCGATTGCGGTCTACATTCAGGTTGGTCAGCTTCTTCAGCTTGCCCAGCGAGCGAGGAAGTGACTGAGAGAGAGGGAGACGGAGACCATTAATCAGTGCAATCAATAATGAATCCTAATAGCTGTTAATGGGACTTAGATATTAATGGGAATGTTTAAATCAGTCAGTGCAAAGCTGTTGTAAATGGCTTCTATGTTCCTACCTGTAAAAGGTTCTCTGTCAGGATGAGTTCTGTGAGATTTTCACACTCTCCTATTGAATCAGTGAGGTGGGTCAACCTGTTCTGGTCCACCTTCAGGATGGAGAGCTGTTTCAGACAGCCTGGAGACAAAACACAAAACTGGTGTAACAAAAATCTACACTATTTTAATGTGATCATGTATCTACATGTATTTAGGTGTAATGGCTTGTATGTGCAATATGTTTTCTTTGTGTGATTTTAATGTCTTTTACACAAACTAATGCTATAGAATAATAAATTTCACTGATTTTGTGCAAGTCAAAGATATTACAAATTTGAGTTTTTGTCTGTGCCACTTTTCACTGCCATTATTTGTCCACTAGATGGAAGTGCTATTCTGATTTAACAGGCCAGGGTCACCTACACACAGTGGGCATGTCCCATGGTCTACTTAATCAACAGGGCTGCTTAATTAGACAGCAAACTCCCATTTTCCACCAAGTACCTCAAACACAAACTTTATCCACGGACGTTTTTAAGAAATAAAAACATATTCTACTATGTAATCCCAAGCACAAACTAATGTCATTATCATGGGGTACAAAAATTTCTTTCTTTTCCCATTGTTTTTCTCACCTATGCTGTCTGGGATGACCTCCAGCAGGTTCTGTGTGAGCAGCAGGTCAGTGAGCGCAAGGAGGCCACTCAACTCTGACGGAAGCTCCTCCAGGCGATTCTCTGACACATCCAGACACACCAGTCTACGAAGATTTCCCAGCTCCTATACACACACAAATACCACTTAACAGCAGCCATAATCTAATCATTACTTTCACAGCAAAACGGGGGAAAGAAATAAGCTAGTGTGAATTAAATCTACAGGTATAATGCAGTTTTTTTAATCAATTTCTAGAGAAAAGTGCAGAGTTATTGCAGAAGGACAGCTTTGCACTGTAAACACTACTTACTGGTGGTAATGAAGACAACTGGTTACGGTCCAGCCACAGCTCCCTCAGATTGGGGAGAGCGCCAAGGGTGTCCGGCTAAGAGATAAGAGTAGGTGTTTTATTTTTGTTCATATTTATGGTGCAAAGGAAGTCAGTGCTCAAAACACACACACACAACAGTGCCTGGAAATCTATTCTATTTGGAAACTATCTTTAGGGGCTGAGGCCACAGCTTAGTGAAATCATGTAGCCTAAACACATACATGCATCATTATATATCATTCAGTGTTTCAGCTTCTAACTATGGACTCCTAAAAGACTATGACTTTCAATCTCATTAAGGCTGATGCAACAAAAATGACTTATTTGATTTCCTATGATTTTTAAAACTGTCAGCAGCTTTTAAACAGGATCACAGGATCATGAAAATTCTGTTCTTCTCTTTGTGCCCTACATTTTTGTTGAACCACCAAAATCAATTCAGTGAATGCGTTTGTGTTTACCATCATGGAATTACTGGGCCAGCATCTCCAAAACTGACCTCAAATTGAAGTCTAAGTGATAAATGAAATTAAGGAGAGTGTCAGTGAAGCAGTGGCTTGTGACAGACATGCAAGGCTTTATCATGATGTCAGCCGTTTGCCCAGCCACCGCCCTTGTCAGGTCATGAGGCATTGTTTACCCTATCCTACTGAGACAGGTGGGTGTTCCGAGGCTAAAGGGAAGCTCACTCTGTGGTAGAGTGCAGGCAGAGCCTTAGGCCCGACAGACTAGCTCTGCTGTAAACATGTGGTTTGGATCATAATTATTGTGGCAGGAATGTGAGAAAGATATTTGTGATATATGTGTGCGTGTGTGTGTGTGTGTGTGGCACTAGTAGAGCAAATATAAAATGGGTTACTTTAACAGCCCAATTAATGGTGTTGTCTCAGCACTCAATGTTAGAATCAATTATCTACTGTATATCACATTAATTGATTTACCAAAATTTCCAGTTCATTGTTGCCCAGGTCCAGCTGTTCCAGTTTCACCAGGAAAGAGAGTGACCTGAATATGCACACAAAACAGAACAGTCAGCAAGCTACACATATATGAAGCTATTCATGGAGTGCCATATGCAAAGAATGCCTTGAAACATATTTCCTACAGATAACTTGTAGTCTCTGTCATGTTCTTCAACACTGTGTAAAACAATTACACTGGCAAGTTTGGGAGGTTCCACCTAAAGCTTGTGATGGGCATCAGTACTTGCTTATCAACAATAGCAACAGTGAAGAAGGAGAAACAGTGGTGACATTTCTTCATGTCTGTGGGATTGCTGTCAACTTGAGCTGTCAACAGGGCCTTGTTGTGCTTGATGAAAATGTTTGGGATTCAGAGACTGAAGGGAGATGACACTTACGTGGGCAGAGATTTCAGCAGGTTCTCCCTGAGCTCCAGTGTCACTAGGTTGGCCAGGCTGTAAAAGGCGGAGTGGGGGGGTTAGAGAAAAAGGAGTAGGAGTTGGCAGGGCATGAGGAGAGAGGATGGCGGGGGGGTAAAAGAGGGAAGAGGAGAGGCAGGTTGGTTAGTCAGATGGCAGGTCTGTTAGTCTGAGCTGCCTGGTATAATGAGGGGCTCCTCCATCTGTCTATGCACAGTAGCACCCCAGAGCCCAGAGACTGGCTGCCTCAGAGCCCGCTGGGCAACAGAATCACCCTCCCTGAAACCCTGCTCAGTCTCCTGATGTATCATGCCTCTAACCGAGCCCGAAGTCTTCAGTCTAATTGTTAAATCCTTTCATTCTTAGCAATTGCCCATTGTTGTAAATTGTTTGTGAGCATATTTACAGATAATCAGTCACAATGGGTTAAACAAGATGGGCCATTATCAAAATCTGAAACTTTGAATCACCAGCAACAGTTTCTTTAACTATCCAAGAGACTACAGCTATAAATCATTGTGTATGTGCACATACTTTCCAATGTCGTTGGGCAACTCCTGCAGTGAAACTTCGTTGAGTGCCAAGTGAGCCAATGTTCGGAGTTGAGTGAAACCATCCGGCAATCTAAGGCAGAAAGACGGGAGAGAAAAATAATGGAATGGTCTCTTAAGGATCTGTTGTGCAACACATGGATTCATTTGGCTCACACACACTAGGAGCCTTCTAGGTAGTGCCATCTCTTAAAGTATTCAGCAATGTAGCTTTTGCCACTGGTTCCAATGTGTTTCTATATACCAACATAGCCTGGTCAGGTTATTAAGATAATATCTGATACAGAGCTATGTTTGGGCAGACAGCGCACTGTAACACAAAGCATGATCTCTTCCAGACATTTGTTCACATACCATGTATAATCTTCTTTTAGTGGTGAAATTATTTCAGAGCACACCACTGACACTTATGTTTCATTATTCAAACTACTGCTGTTTCTCTTCTCTTCTCTTTTTGTATCTGAGAAAGCAGAACATTTTCTCACGGTGATGATGAACTGAGCGATGGGCCACTTACCTGGAGAGGGGATTTCCACTGAAGTCTGCGATCTCCAAGGCCCTGCAGAACTTAATGCTCTCTGGGATCTCAGGAATGTCTGCAGGAGAAAGGGGGGGCACAAGCCAGTACATTGGACACACAGATGTAGATTGGGAGATTGGGAGGGTTGTGTTCTATAGAGTGAAACATTTTAAATTCTTTGTAATCACATCCAGATGGCCCAAAGCAGGGAAATGGCAGAAAGGACAAGGAAAAATGAGACAGAAAGAGATGGATGCAGTACTGCAGTACTTTTCTAAGCCGAAGCTATGTCAGCATCTAAAAGCATTTCAGGACTTACTTCAGTGCTTTATTAACTATGTCAGCATCTAAATGCATTTCAGGACTTACTTCAGTGCTTTAGTCTCAACAGGTTGGTGTTCGAAACATGTTTATTACTAGAGATGTAACGACACCAAGAACTCACAGTATGATATTACCACGATAAAAAGTACAATACAATATTTGACAAAATATAAATAAGATGAAATAATCCCATTAACTAAATAATAAATCTGCATTTTTTGTGTAATCTATATAAAGTATAATGCGAGATGTACCCAGGACTGTCTCAGTCCTAACCGGGGCTCGTATTGCCTTTGTCCAGCAGTATTTGCAAAATAGTTCACTGTTTTTTAGTTTCCCTTTCGCTATGTTATTTCATGAAATGGGAAAACTGAACAGCCCTAAAAGTCAATGATGGAGCAGGCGCATGTCCTTTTCAAATTCTGAACCAGCAGTTATACTAATGAAATAACCATTTGTAGATACCATCATAGTCCCACGACATTACGATATTTTTGTATCGTGATATTGTGAAATTACAAATATTGTTACATCCATATTAAAGGCAGATATACATATATTAAAAGTTTACAGCTAGATGGCACAAATGCCTTTGAGCAATACAAAAAAACATGGATTTTATCATAAAAGCAACAGTTTGCTCTGGTGTAAAGTAGATCAGTTGTCCAGAGTTTGCACTGTTTTGTCAGCTTGAGAGTATAACAGTTCTGAGCTACAGTGAGTGCCATCCAAAACAAACACTCCACCCTACCCCCAAATAAAGAAGTGGTAAGACAGTTTAGCAACAAACAGCTTTACATGCTAAAAGAACAAAGGCACAGATTTAGCATCTCTTTTGCAAACTTAGTCTGATGCACATATAGAAAGAAAAAGTAGAAATGTGACTAGTGGTCTAACCAGTAAAGCACTTTTATCACTGGTTCTTGCAGGTGCATGATAAGAAAACCCTATCGAGCCAAGCAGCCTATGATGCATATCAGGTCAACACTGTCCTGCAGCAGGGCTGGGAAGCACGAATGCAGACAGATGGGAAAGGCCCTTCACATCCCACTGCACACTGCTCTCACAGTACCTGATGCAGTGTGGAGCAGAGCAGATGACTCATCTCTACCATATAGGCCATTCCTGACACAGAGCAGCAGCCTGCTTGTGTGCAGCAACACTGAGAGTGCAAGACACTTGTGTGTGTTACAGACAATAGAGTATAATATATCAGGCATTACTGGAACAGGTTTCATCTTATGTCTCACTTATGACCGAGGGCAGAATTGTCATCAACAGTGAAACTGGTTGTGTACCGTTTCTGGAGATGTCAAGTTCCACCAGCTGCATGAAGTTGGCCACCTCAGGGGGGAGTCTCTGGATCTCATTGTCACTTAGACCGAGCTTCCGTAGATTCAGTAGTCTGAAGAAAGGCTGCAGAGACATGATACCGCATTAGTCAAAACAGAAACTTCCTTAGGCAGATCATCTCAAATCATTTTATCATTTTTTTATTGATTGAATGCTATGAAATCTTTCTGCTTATTGTCTGACATTTATACAGCAGTGCAATCTCATAAAAACAAGACTCAGTGAAGCAGCATCTGTAATTGCAGACTTACATTACTGTATGTTATGGTTACTCTACTATGGCTATTTTTTTATTGCTTAATTTGCCAGTTATTTATTCAATTAACTGTAAAAATGTAAAAGAAAATGGTCACCACATATTTCTGAAGTCCAAGATGATGTTTTCTAGAGCTGAGATTAGTTGGTTTGCTGGTTCTGGATTGAAGATTTTGTGCTTTTCTTTGACATATATGGCAGTAAAGGAATGAATATCTTTGGGTTTTGCATTGGCCAGACAAAACATGACATTGGAAGATGTCAAGTTGTTGTAATGTGGTAAATTATAAAGAGCATTTTCCTTATAGATAAAATAATAAACTAAATAAGACCAAATAGTCACTCATGAGAAGCTGTAACTAGGACATGGATAGTGTTTTCGCTTGAAAATGGCTCAAATAATTGATCTGTTATCATTATAAATCACTTAATGGACTTATTGGTCTATAAAGTGCATTTAATAATGGGGATATTGCACTATCTTGACCAGAACTGTGAAGTAAAATGCACAAAACATCCTGCATATTGGGATGAGGACAGTCTCCAGAACTGTATTTTAAAAACATTCCATAGTCATAATCCCAAAAAACACCCTCCACCTCACTATGGCAACACCAACCAAACAAAGTGGCTTTCGAAAGGAGCGCTAGAGTGCTGTGGCTGTGTCCGTGCCAAGTGCTTTCACAAGAGCCTGGTTGTTGGACAGGACAGCATTCAGAAACATTCCTCTGCCAGCAGCGCTGTGTGCGTGCGTCTGTGTGTCATCTGCTGTTCAGATGGACAGACTGAACAGCAAGAGTATTGGGCCAAAACTATGCAGTTATTAACCCCTCAATCAGCCCACAGAGGACCCACTGTATGTCCCGTCAAAAAGCCAGTAGCCTTCTTAGATGCTGTAAGGGAGGAAGACTTCAGGAACTTGCCAGCTTGCATTTTCTGGGGTAGTTTGTATAAACTCATTATTCAGGGATAGTTTCTAAAACACATACATATGAAATTTTGGAGCCTTAATTCAAATTAAACCTCAGGCTCTCAGCAAGTTCCTCTGCTAAAAACGTGTGTAAATTACTAGAGATTAATCTATTAAATTGAAAAAAAAAATCTAGAACTTTTCCAAGCTCCTCTTTCATATGGATTAAGGTTTCACAAAGATGGCACTGTTGCAAAAACACTTCTGTCTCTAAACGTCTGCATAAAATGTAGCGAATCAGCTAAACCTGTTTTAATGTGTATTGGCAGGTTTCTGCAAAAACACATGTACACACACACACACACACACACACACACCATGATTACCAAAGAGAAGAATGCTGCAGCTCCACTCTGTTTGTCGATGACAGACATTTCCTGCTTTTGACTAGTTACTGGTATTGTGTTGTGTACTGGAGTGAGGTGGCTTTAACAACAATCCCAGAGTCTGTCTGGGACTGTTTGGCAGTGCAAGACTGATAATTACACCATAGTTCATATTAGCTTCCCCGCCTAATGGAAAGTAAACTGGGGGAGGAGTGAGTAGATAAACACAGAAAAGAACAGAGCCAGAGGGTGTTGCCTCACTGAATAGCAGGTGACAGGTATCAGATGGCAAGAACAGGAAACAGAAGCTAAGTGTGACCATGTGACCGAGGCAAGCTCAGTTGGGACATGGCCCCCAGGGGAGGCCATGTTGCTGGGAGAACAGGTGGCACTTGGAGGTTGAAAGCTACTCGGAGGGGGGGGAACACACCTGGAAATTCATGTTGCAGATACAAGAACACAGTGAAAAAGTTGTTCAAAACAAATTATTTTCCAAAAAGACAGATGAGGCTTCAACTTTCAAGACTGAGACAGTTCTTTTAAACCAAAAGTATAAAAAGCAGCACATTCCTCTCCTCTCTTGCTATCGTCCAGAGCTCAATTAGAGCTGAGGGGAAACCCAGACAGTAATACAATGATGACTCCTCACAAAGATGGCCATTCACCGCTGAGAGGCCACTCACAGACAGGCCAGTGCATGCTGTACCAAGCAATAAACGGCAAGATACTCAACAACTTCTCCAGTCTAAAAATTTTACTTAACAGGCAATCATTCTGTTCTTTGACATGCTCAGTTACTTCCACCACAGTCAATAACTGCTAAATCCATAAATGAAAACTGGATCTGACATCCCTGCCGTTTCACATTAAACAACAGAAAGCAAACAGCGTTAAATAAGTCAACATGTCAGCTGGAATAACAGGTGAGAGGGGTGGGATTTAGTGTACTGCACTGCCTCATTACTACTGTAATGTATTAGTGAGCCACCGCAGTCTGCCTAGTTATTTGGCCAGACTGTGCTTGTGTAACAGTTTGCTATTGAGAACCACTGTGCCACATTTCCTTTACAACTTTGATACTGGGATATTTTAATGAGGGCAGTACAAGGATTGTAAGAGAGTGGAGCTGTGAACAGGAGGATGTAGTGTAGTAGAAGAAAAAGGAGTGTCAGGGGAGGTGGGTAAATAATGGCCATGTCAGCAGAGGGCAGCGTGAGGTCTTGGAGCACTTGGAGTAATGTACAGCATACCAGTCATTTGCAAACAACAATCGCAGTACTATATACTAGTTTTGCTTGTGCCTAAAAGACCCAGACAATTAAATGTCTTCGTGCCACATCAATATTCAAAACTTAAATGACATTAAACATCAAATATTTGCTGTTTACAACTAAAACAATCCTAAGCGGGCAATGATTACACCTCTAGCCACCTACTGAGGAGTCTCTCTTGATGAGTTTGTTCCTTCTTAAGAAGCGCTTTGGAAGATAAAACATCAAACTGTGTGACTGATGGAATAAAAAGGGAGATTCACTGCTGCAGCCATGTTCCATATTCTTAAACTGCTTCAGATTCCAGAGAAACATTTAGCAGTTAAATTACATAAATAGTGGGTAAAGCAGGTCTTGAGAAGGACACAGCTGCATGATAACACAGAGGAAGACTGGATTTGTGTAGCATCCACAATGTGGCCAACTCAAGCTAGTGTGAAATGGTTTCTGTGGTGTGGGTACTTATTTGAGAAGCCCCCTATTATTTTACAGTGAATGAAGTCCCATCACCCCCGAGCAACCTTGTGAACAGAGACATGAACGATACACATCAGTGTGTGTGGACAATCACAGAATGCTTTGTTTTGTCTTATCTGCATCACCCTGCTTAGCTTACACTCCACTCAGACGAAGTCTTAATGTGACTCAGGATATATGTTTGTATGTGTGTGCACGCATGCTTGTGCATTTTGCAGACATCCTTAAATCAAAGCAGAAAAGATTCTCTGCTGTAGGTCTATAAGTCAGCACATACCACTGTTTGCAGCAGTTTTACTTTAGGCAGCTAATTACACTGCCTATAGTAGCAGGACTGAGCATGTGTGTTTGGGCAGTATGTTAACATACATACTAGCAGCAGTGGGTGTTTAAGAGTGTTTATAAGTGAGTTTATGACAGTAAATCCACTAGGAAGAATGTTAATACTCATGGATCTCATATCATTCCAGAAAAACTAATTAAAATGTGATTACAGCTATGCCAGAGGCAAAGTGTGTATGTCTCTGTGTGTAAACTGTGTTCTTTGTAACGGCCCACTGTGCACTGAGCTGAAGCCTGATGTTCACAAAGGCTGCAGAGCTCCAGTCAAGTGACTCCATTTAGCTTGCGGTTTCCCTCCAATCAACCCCAGACTACAGACAGAGCAGGCTACTCCTGCCTTGCAAACAGACACTTGCATAAATTCCACCGTTCTCTGACAGGGGCGTGAGACTCGAAACATCCGACTCCACACTTTATCTCAAATCTTCAACCAAGGCCAGGTTCATTGCTTAAAAACTGTAATACAAAGGTCTTAATTATTTTAACATCTGCAGAGGCAAACACAAAGTCTTGGCATATAGTGAAATAAAAGTACTGAGTCAGCTTGATCGGGTCACAACTTGTCTGCAAAGACATTTAATCAATGGACCTACCCTAAGTCTGCCACAAAAAGGAAGTCAAATTACACAGGCCTACCATCGTTAAAACTCTGTTCTTCACAACGCACTTCCTTACCTCTGTAACTGGAATTCCTATTCACACGTTCACAAGCCTCTTAATCTTGTGCCAAATCTACCCTGTTGGCCCAGTTGTTATGTCCCCACTCTTCCCAATATCCACTCAGATGAAGGGCTTGGGGGGGGCGCTCATGCTTTTGTGCTAGCTTGGACTCCTTCAGTGTCCCGGGAAATAAAAAGCACAAGGATCTGGTTGACTGAGTAACTTGGTCGGTCACTCAAATGGCGAGCCTCATTAATGCACACTTATTTCTATGAAGAGCTGCAGTCTTTGCTGTGGTATTACTCAGTACATGAATGAGCACAGAAACAAGGCGGCTCTAGCACAATGCCATTTTGTATTAACCCAATATCTTCAGTGCAGTGTTATGTGAAGTTATAAGTAAAGGCAAGAAAACCGGTGCTGTATGTGCTGATGTTGCTCTGCTGCTGGGCCACAGTGTCCCCTCCCCCTGTAGAGTACTTTTTGAAACTCAAAGTTTCCAAAACTTCAACACATGAATGACACCCCAACTGGTCCTCTTCCCCTCCTCCTTTCCACTGATCCACCTCCCTGGGTTCCCTCCATTTTCCTTGGCAGAAGGACAAAGGCCAAGCAGTCTGCCCCACACAGGGCTGTCAGTCATAGGCTAGCCCTTGTTCCCCCCTCTCTGCAGCCAGGCAAGGGATTCCTCCATTGTCCAAAAGGGCACTGCGGTGAAGAAAGGGCTAAAATTGGAAGGATGAAAACTTGAAAGAGGAAAGA